ATATTTCAGCCAAATCGATCACTGCATTGATATCTATTTATGTTTGTCTCAGCAGATTAATATGGGAATGAGTTGAAAGTTAATTAATTATTCAAATCAATTAATTTTACGATAGAAGATAAGCAAATGAAATTTAAGTAATTGCTATCCAAAGTAATTAATTTATGTAGCTTAGCAATCGGTATATAAAGGCTCAAAATGTTTTAGAAGTAGGAAGAAATAAGATGCAAATTCTTATCAGAATAACTTGACGCAACCTTCCAATAATTCGTTCCGTTAATCTGCATATCAATTTTATGATGCATTCTTCTTCGCACGGTTTTTTGAACACCTTTCGAACTTTATCAGTTTATTAACTTCCAATACTTTCTGTTGCATCTGTTTTGTCATTTCGTTTGCCTTGTATACTGCCGTCTGAGCATCAGCTTGCCTTTTTACCACATCTTTCTTGCATCAATTCAAAAATATATATATTATCACCAAACATGATGAAGATTCAGCGATAACATAACTTTACCATTACTACCACTATTGCTTGTTAATATTACTTGTTATTGTCATAGATATCTATCATTATTATTTTGATTTGTTAGTCCTTATTATTATTATGACATATTCCACCTTAACTAGTATCTCTACATTGTTTTTATCAATTACATATTCATCGTTATTCATGTAATCAGATCTCACCGTATGCTAGATATTCATCTTGATTCAAAATTAAGAGCAAGCAATTTAACTTCATCTGAACAAAACAAAGAAAAATAAATTATCGTCACCTCTCTTCTGTATCTTAAATTTGGAACACAGCAGTCTTGCCCATACTTTAGAAACATGTTTCTCTTAAAAAATCTTCAAAAGAAGTTTGTATTCAAAGTACAACGACCTTTTCAAATGAAGATAATGATAGCTCCTACAAATATACAAACGTTCATCCAGCATTTGTTTCTGTTTAAACTTGATTTTCAGAGAAAACGGATTAAATTCAATTCTAATCGCATAATGCAAAAACCTCAGCAACTGTGGTTTTGTATCCATGGCATCTTACTTTCTATATTTCAATAGTTTATCGGAGAAGAGATATTGAATTCAGCAAAAAATGATACTTGTATTATTTACAATAAATACGTAACGCAAAATCAATTAATAATTAATGATGAAACAAGCAAAACATATTATTATAATCGTATTCAAAGACAAATTATTTCAATTCAGAGATAAATAAAATATTAATTTCTTGCTACTTATAACAACTATCATCGCACTTTGCAAAATAAAGTTTTTAGAACTTAATGATAATAAAAAACTTGACAAACAACACACATTCAGAAAGTTCAGGCAATAAACATTCAGGAAAGTCCGAATTAATTTAAGTGCATTGAAGATTTTTCAGCTTTCCAAATGGAATACACAAAACTAAAATATACGTATCAGGATAATATTTCAAAAAATGAAATTTGAAAATGTGTAAATGTAACACATTACATAACAATTCTGTGCCTCTACATTGAATAAGTAAAAAACTTAAACTATTGAAAAAACAGCGCTAAAGTGTTAAATTTTATTTTAATAAGAATAGATTCAAAAACTTGTGTATAGAATTCTAAAGATTATGGAACTATCCTTATTATCATCATTATGACCAACAATTTTTTTATTTTTATCACAAGTCTATCGTCCGCCCCTAAAGCCACCACCTCTTCGTGGCCCACCTCTTCCTCGACCACGTCCTCGTCCACCACGAGTTGGAACAGCTCGACCACGTCCTCCACGTGCTGATTTCTTGCGTGGCTCATCATCAACTAGTAGCGTATCAAGTGGTATAGAGTCAGGTAGGATGATGTGCCGGATGTTATTTCCTAAAAAGTTTGATTAACTTTACATTATATTACAGAATCGAAAAAATTATTATCTTGAAGTTTACTGACCCATTATACTTCGATAAAATTACTGTTAAATTATTAACCTCTTTCAGATAGATTTTGACGCCAAATATCAATCATAATTTAATACCAATATTGCTCTCTGTATTAGAAATATCGAATATTTTTACTTGACCAAAAACTGAAGGTTGTAACCTCTTATAGAAATTGATTCCAGTTGAATAGATTCTTTATTCTTTGGCGTCATTTTCACTGATCTCAAATGGGTATTCATCGCAACATCAACACCCACAATTGTGCCTGCCACTAGCGTACCATTTTTAAGCTCTATAGTTACGCTTTCATGCGACAATTTCATCAAAAAGCGCACCAATTTCATTGTTTGCTCTAAAATAAAAGGAGAGAGCAACATATAACGTTAACAAGAAGAGTAAGCAAGCTATGTCAGCTTACAAGAGATTATGCCTTATTTATATAACACAATTCACAACGTGATTTACAGATATCCAGTGATGTCTGCACGATGCAAGTACTACTATGCGCCTATAATTTTTACGATAATATACCAAAATATAGAAGTGATACTTCAAACAATGAAGTAATCCAAAATGATGAAAACCAATTCTAATTTAAAGTTGAATTCGTAATTTTGCATTTAAAATACAGCTAAACAACTATTATAAGTAAAATATATGCAACGCGATGGTATATTATACGTCTGGTATGTTGGAAAGAATGCTGTTTTTGATAACGAAGTGATCTAGTCATAAAAATGTTGAAAAAAATGCAAG